ATGTGAGTTCCTTAATTTAATTACTTAAATAACAACTAAACATAGAAGACATAAAATTAACGTTAGCAACTGTAGTTGTGACCCATCAAGACCTAGAAATAATGTTGGAGTAAATCAAAAGGAATAAATAATGCTATTGAAAACAACAAGCCAAGCTAGCTATATGAATATAATGATCTTGCCTACCGTGACGTTCTTCTCCTTGGAAAATATGGAAACATGTAGAGTAGGGGAACGCTCGAGTCAACTATGTTCCCTAGTAGTAACAACAATGCATTAGCCTGTGGTCTCCAAAACGCGCAATTGAAAGGATGGATCAACCAATACGCAGAGACACAGCCTGTGGAATCCACCTTCTCTAACACTCTCCAATCCAATTCTTGATTGCCTCAAACGCAGCTACTGGGAATGGGAATCCTTCTCAAGTGCTTTGGAGGCTCTGCTTCAACTTCTACCAACCAACCTTCCACAACAGAAGAAGATCTATGCCATCGCTTTTCTCTTGCCCACCTTCGAAAATCGACCGATGACTTTGACCAAAGCCGGATTATCCGTAAAGGGACCCGTCGTGACATATACAGGGGTTGCGTCTCCATCAACGGCCAACTCAAAGATGTTACAGTGCATCGGACCCAGGCGGCCGCCATGCGAGTAATCACTTAATTTGGTGTGGTTTTCTTACAGCTCAATTGCAGAGAGATTCTATCCCAAATGATGAAGCGACAAGAACTCCGTTATGCTCAGGAAATACGTAATTTGGCGGAAACAGTAAAAGCTGAGGGAATTATTGATGAGAGTTTTGTGGAAGAAATAGGAGGAGAGTGTTGGAAATTGTACATGGACATTACAGAGGGTTGTTTGAGTGAAGATCCCAGTGAGAGGCCAGACATGGGAGAAGTTGAAGTTCAACTTGAAGGGGTATTGCAATTACTCCCTCTGTCCCTTATTACAAGATCCTTTTAATTAAATTGTACGGTTTGAGAAAACAGTTAAAATTAGTTAAAAGCAATTAATATGTAGCGAATGTAATTTTTTTTTTAAATATACCCCTATATATAAATGGAAAAATGTGAGAGTAATAGTGATATAAATGAAGAAAGAGAATGTATTTAATATATTAAATTAGAGGTAAAATAAGTAATAATGCATTAAATGTTCAGACAAACTTAAAGAAGATTTTATAAAAAGAAACATACCCATTCAAAAAATTGGATCTTATAATAAGGGACGGAACTAGTTTCGGTACTCATCATTTTGATGAGCACCTTAAACTCATTAAATTTGGACCATCCATATCTTATTTTGATAGTCAGAATTTGATTTTTTTTAATTTATTCAAAATAATTATTTTAGTATTAAAGATAATCTCTTAACTAATCAATTTTTCAAAAAATAATTTTTTCATTTAGAATAATTAATTAAAGATTTTAAATCTGGACCGTTCAAATCAGATGTAGATAATTCAGAATTGATGAGTTCAAAGTGATCATCAAACGAGCACCGAAACTGGTCTCGTAAGGGACGGAGGGAGTACAAGAGGAAGCAGATTCTAACAAATTAACAATGCTTCCTTCATTTAATCTCTCTTCTTGCTTGAAGCTTTCGTGCTTGCTTACTCTGAGGCTAGAAAACACTTATTTGTGTCTCTTAATCACTACATTGAGAACAAAATAATAAATATGATCTTATATTTACGACCAACTCAACTCAAAGAGCTTTGCCAATACTTTTCTCTTTCCCAACTTGAAGAATCAACCATGGGATGTTTATCTCTTCAGAAACGAAATCCTAATCAAGAGAAGGTCTTCAAAATAATTAAGCTGGTCATCACCCAAACATCACTTCACACTGGCATGGTGTTTAAACATACTTCATGGAAGAACTGCTGGTAAATCGGTCCAAACAAAAAGCAAATAGCTTGATAAGTTGTTATAACTTGACATCACAGCTCTCCCTGCGTATAGAGTAAACCTTTTCTACTCTCAATCAATACAAGTCTATTTACAGGTCATATAAAGATGCTTCCATCTTTAGGTTGTCGTCCGACAAAAAAAAAGAACATAGATTATCTATAATTAATCATAAAAAATCTGTCCTATTCATTTAAACATGTACTATTCATTTAAAAAATGCGTACAAAAGTTCATGTTAGGATTACACTATTTACAGTATTCCTGGAATGATCAGGTATTCACAAGAAGAGTGGATACTGGGTTTCCAAAAGAAGCTAGGCTACATGACTCCAACCGCAGCCGAAGTCAATGCGTTGATGACAGGTACTATGCTGTGCAAACAACAAGGAATAAAGATGGTAAAGATCTATACAGATTCCACTGAAGCATTCCGGATGACCATGTGTGTGATAGTATGATTCACCACCCTCTAAGGAAGAAATTTCCACGATTCGAAACGCCCTATACTCAGAGGGAAGCTTTGAACTGAAGTATGTCTCAAGAGATGCAGTACATTGTGCAGATTTCCTGGCGAAGTAAGCCCACCAGAATGAAGACAAGATGGTCTTGCTATGTGATCCTCACCCGGCTTGTTGGGATAGATTGCTGAGGGATAAAGCAGAGGGACTATCTGTTAGTCCTTAGTAGGATTGTGTATTTTTGTACAAGCTCTGGCTTGCCCTATTTGATGCAAAAAAGAAAAAAAGGATTTAGGTATCCCCCCCCCGGGGGACCCCCAAAAAAAAAAATGCTTTTGTTGTGATGTAGCCTATCTAATGGAACCTGAAAGCATATTCCGACCTGTCATGTTGTAAGTACAACTGCTTAGTATATGCCTAAGGTTACTGTGCGATCTGATATGTCTCGCCGTGTTTATGTTGTCAATGCATTTTCTGATTTGTGTTAATGACAGATTTACAATGACTGGCTTCCCAACATAAGGATTGGTGTGTAAGCAGAAACCGTGGTGGGGAATCTTTGGTACATTGATGGAAAAGACAATAGATACTAGTTGTTCAAAATGCTGATAAAGCACGGATGGTCTTCACGCTTGGTTTTCAAGCTGTGATTACTTTAAGCAGACTAATTCACTGATGAAGCAGATGCTCTCATGCGTAATATGGATGATTCTTTATCTGTTATCTCTTCGGGTTTGTATCAATGTGCATTCTGGAAATGTGATTTCTTGGAATAAACTTGTTAGAAGGGATAGCTACTCACCAACGCTCTCATAGGGGGTGGGTGTAGGTACCAACGGATCGCTCTGGTGATAATGGTCGTTGATGATGGGTGAAGCTGGACGCTTAATCAGAGCAAATATTTCAGAGTGACGCCACCTCATACCACTTGAACGGAATGTTTGACGGAAGGACTTGTGTATTTAACAAAATAAATCCAAAGCATCTTCTAAAAAGGGGGGAAAAATAATTCAGGACCTAATTCAAAACCAGAGGAAATTATAAGAACTGCGAGATTAATTTCCCTATTACAAATTACATCAATAAAATCATGCTACTTCCTACCTGTCAAGAGTAATTTGTTCAGCAGCAGTTATGAAATGCCTCCGTCATGAAACTAGTGCTATTTGTTTTGGAAAATGAATGAAGTCTCTACCATGAAGATTAGTAACAGAACTTGGTATGTCCTGGTTGGGAAATGTATTCATTAAAGTCTTACAGATTACATGGTTAGGATTTTACAATTGTCTAGGAGTCTTTTAGTTATCTCACATCATCACTTGCAGAAGTTCATCTTGTGATCAGTCTACTGTTTCCAAGTATTATATACAAAAGAAAGGAGGGGACAGCCACCTGCCAAAGTGTGGTGTGTGTGAAAGTTTCGTTCATTACATTCAGTTTTAACCCTTATATTATTAGAAGAACATGAAGTTTAAATATAATGCCCAAAATTGTGATTAATTTGAGGAAATTAATCAAACGAAGTGTTGAATGGCCCAATTTCCATTCAACACTTGAGATCAATTTGAGTAAATCAATCAAATTAAATTGTCAAAATATTAATGGTTTGATCATTCAAATTGAATCAATTAAACCCTCAAATTATCCTCACGCGAGTCTAAGGTTACCAATTCGGACATAAAATTGATGGTCTTCAACCTTGTATGGAATTAGGACCGTAGGTAGCACATAGGGGTGTTCATGAAGCCCCGTAGCCCGTTATGCCCGCCCAAACCCGCAAAAAAATGTCCAGCCCATCCTAAAAAAATGGCCCGAAAGAACTATTAGGCATGTTTGGGCTGGACAAACTGTTGGGCAGGGCTGGGCATCGGGCAAGGTATGCTGCCCTGCCCATTTGGCCCTGCCCGCAAAAATATATATAATTTTATTTTATATATTTTATTTGCCTCATATTTATTTCTAAATCAAATGCATTGTTGTATCAATATTCAGTATTCATTATACTTATTTATTTTTGAATGTTTTTGAGAGTTAGAAACTAGAAAAATAATTAAGTTTAATAAAATATACTAACAATATTTTTGTCATAGTCCACTCCTCTTAGCTACTACAAAAAGTAGTTTCATAGTATATTAATTAGTAATAACAAAATTAAGGCTAAGTTTCCATTTTAATAAAGTTACATTAGATTATTTAGAAGGATATAAATAATTAGTTAATTAATATAGTATATTAATTTGTTGGGCATAGAAGCCTGTCCTGCCCAACCCGCATTTGCCCAGCCCAAATTTATTAGGACTTTTCATGGGCAGGACTGGGCAACGGGCTGTATTTTCCAACCCGTTCATTCTTCGGGCTGGGCATCGGGTAAGGGTCCAGCCCTGCCCATGTGCAGCCCTAACACATTATAATGTTTTTCAACTAATGGTCCGTGTGGCCTCATGCGACTCTCTTTACCCGCAGGTTGAAGGATCAAATTTTTTGGCCAATCTTCGTAGTCACTCGAAGAAATTCATTTGACTAAATTTATAATCCTTGTATTGGAGTTGGTTCGCTGAGGCTGCTGACAGAGAAGCGTTAGAAAATCCCAAGTCTTGATTGCAGTCCGCAAACTGCCTCAAACGCAGCTACTGGGAATGGGAATCTTTCACAGGTGCTTTGGAGGCCCTGCTTCCACTTCTCGGAAACATTCTCCCACAACAATAGAATATCTATGCCATCGCTTTTCTCTTTCCCAACTTCGAAAATCCACCGACAACTTTGACGACAGCCGGATTATAGGTGAAGGGCCCTTTGGTGTGGGGTATAGGGCTCGCATCTCCGTCAATGGCCAAATGAAAGATCTTATAGTGAAAAGGCTCCGGCGAGAAGCGGCGAATTCCTCATACGGGCTCTTACTGTATAAGAACGATATCATATTTAGATGTCAGCTTCACCATCCGAATCTCGTGTCTCTGGTTGGATTTTGCGATGATCAAAATGAAATGATCGTGGTCTATGACTACGCCCCAAACGGATCACTCTATCAGCAACTTTACGAAACAGAGGCTAAGCCACCGATACGACCATGGAAGAAAAGGCTAGAAATCAGTATAGGAGTGGCGCGTGGATTACACTACCTTCACTCAGGAACCAAACGCACCATCATTCACCGCGATATTACACCGTTTGCCATTCTTCTGGGCGAGCATTGGATTCCCAAACTCAATTTTTTCGGGTTCTCTATAAAAGGACCAAAGTTTTCAGAAAAGGATGTGAAACCCATACAGTTGGAATCCATTGAAGGCCCTGTGGGATACATAGCTCCTGAGTGCATTAGTGGCACTAATGTCACGTATAAAAGTGACGTCTATTCTTTTGGAGTAGTTTTGTTAGAACTCATTTGCGGAAAGACTTTATTCGAGATTGCTCAGCATAAGGGGCGTCATGTTGATAAGACTGCAAGTGTCATTCCATTTACAACGAGTGTGGTTAAGGACGTCCGTAATTTGGAAGAAAGAGGAAATGCTGGAGGAATTATTGATCAGAGTTTGATGGGAGAAATAGCAGCAGAGTGTTGGAAATTGTATATGGACATTACAGAGAGTTGCTTGAGTGAAGATCCCGATGAGAGGCCTGATATGGGAGACGTTGAAGTCCAACTTGAACGTCTATTGCAAATACAAGAGGAAGCAGACACCAACCATGCTTTTCATGCTTTCTTGATTTAATTTCTTTGCTTGTTTGAATCTTTCATGCTTACTCTTCCACTAGAAAATACTTGTTTGTGTCTCTTAATTACTGGATTCTTTAGATTTAACCTCTCATAATCCGTTTCTATATCATTTCCATTATCTTACTTCTCGTGATTTCTTGCATGTAGTTGGATTGGTGTTTGTAAATGCGAAATATAACTTCTCGATCATGATATGGTACCAAAATGTTCGAAAAACATTTATCTTTCACCATTCACGTAATTACAAGTGTTTCTTTACCTTTTTTATTTTTTTGGGGGGGGGGGGCACCAAATGCAAGCAAATTTTATTGTAGCTCGCTGTTTTACTTCTGCAATATGCTAGAGGCAAAATCTGCTGAAAGAAATTTTTAATTCCTTCAGAGACAGCTAGCATCAGGCATCAGACCTCACTTTACTTACCAAGAAGGCAAGAACCAGGCTTAACCGTCATCATTATCCATTGCAAATTGCTGGTATATAGTATGTACCAGAAACCACATGTTCTGGGATGTCACACACGCAATAGTCAATAACAGCATATCTAGACGATATTTTAACAAGCCACAATTGTGCTTGTAGATGCTTTTCTTGTTGATTTGGTCCTATGGCTGCAGTAGGGAATGATATTTTAACTTGCAATGCAACAACTGATGGCAGTTTTACTGTGAAGAGTGCATATTACTTGCTAGAAATGATGATGAAGCACCGATGGTCTTAACAACCGGTTTTCAAAGTCTTTGCATTAAGCAGAATTATTCATTGATGTTTGTATTCCATTTTAGATGCAACTATTAGGCACAAGCAAGTTAAATATATAGGTTATGTTCGGTTGGTGACTGGCACTGAGACTGCACATTGTCTAACATTTCAAATTACTCATGGTTACTCAAACTTGGTCATGTCTTGTGTAAGTGGCAGTTTCCATGATTCTTGAAGATCCACTAGCCAAAAGTATCTGATGAATAGGTACATACTTGTCCTCTTAACTGTTAAATCGAGAGTCTTTCTGCAGCCCATGCTGGTGAACTTTTCATTTAACTATATGTACCAACCATGTTGTTGTGTATTCTATCAGTGCATATTGGCCTTTTAGCATTCTTGGATGGCCAGATCAGTCTGCGGAGGATTTTCATGGTTCTTCCTCTTTTGTGCCTTTTCAATTGTTACTCGATTAAAGAGAATATTTTATGTTTTATGTTTGAGATATACTGTCTCGGATCCTTAATATAAAAGATTTTTAATATAAAAACTAGATAATTAATTTGAGAATATTAAAAAAATTAGTTAAGTTAGTTATTTATAATATATGGGTTTGGTCTTTCCTAGAATACTCTTATTAATCATATTGATTAGAATAAAAATCGTTTAATGTTTTCCCAGTGATTACCAAAAAGAAAAAAGAAATCATTTAACATGTGTAATGACTATTGAAACTACTTTGAGGGGGAAAAAAAGACTAACTATGAGGGATAAAATAAATTAAAACATTATATTTAGAAACAAATTAAATTTTCAATCAGCTTTTATATTTAAGATCAGTCTTTGGTAATGAGAAAATACCTAGAAATTGATTAAAATGTTTAAATTTGTTTGAACTGATCATGATTTTTTTTCCCCCTTAAAAGGCCGAGAAATGTTCTCCTTCCATGATATGGAAATATTCAATTTTTTAACGTATCGATAGTAATAGCTATATATTTTCGTTTATAGCTAATAAAAAATGAATGAATGATATCAGCATAAAATGACTTTGATTTTGATTTTAGCAGGCATATTGTTTGCTGAAGCATTGAAGGATTTTATTTTGTGGGGATTGATGCGAACAAGAGCTATATAGCCGGGCTTCAACCGTGGTAGCATCTCGTAAGAAACTTGCGAGCCGGCCTGAGTGGAAACTACAGGCGTGATGTGACCTTCTTAGGCTTTGTTTGGTAGCAGAAAGGAGGGGAGGAAAGGTTAATTAAAGGAAAAAGAGAGGAGGAGAAGGAAGGTTATGGGTTTTGTTTGGTTTGAGGAGAGAGAGAGGAAGAAATGAGAGATTTCTTGTTTGGTTCATGAGAGGGGAGGAGGAGAGATAATTATAAATTGACAAATATACTCTTATCACTATATTTAGACTGTTTTGTTCTTTTATTATAATATTTATATCAAAATTATTATTTCTTAATTCATCAATTTCAAAAAAACTGATTACCTCACTTACATGTGATAAAAATTATGATAAAACTAAAAAATTATAAAATATGATAAAAAGTTTAATATTCTATCTCATTAATTTTATAATTATATGTATTAATATATATTATATGTATATATTAATATATATTATATATATATATATGTTTGCAATCTATCTGAGACTATAATACACACAATATGATATATATTATAATACACATGTTATGATATGTGTATATTATATAATTATAATACTCATCCGGTCCTTAATATAGGATTCAATTCTTGAGTTGGTTTTTGTCCTAAATATAAGACCCATTTCTTATATTTATCAATTTTCTGTAAATTACCCCTATAGATACTCTCTCAACCATAATCAAATAGAATAAGGAGAAGGGGTATTAAAAAAGATGATTATGGTGTTTTAGGAAAAATGTGTCACTTTTCTTATAATTAACTAATTTACCTAACTTCCTTAATCTAATCAAATTAGTTAAATGGGTCTTATATTAAGGACCGGAGGAGTATTATATTATCATTATTAAATATTATTAGTGGCTGAAAAGAGAAAGAAGTGAAAAAAAGATTTCTAATAAGAGGAAAAAACTTGGAATATTAAAAAGTTAGTATGTGTAGTTTAGTCAATATTAGACATAATATTTCTCCCCTCTCTAAAAAATCCCAAATTTGGAGGGGAGCATAAAAAGAGGGGGAGTACTAAAAGACAAATTTCTTCCCTCCCCTCCCCTCTATTTTTTCCAACCAAACACACTTATTTCATCCCCTCTCCTCTTCTCCTCTTCCCTCAACAACCCTCCAATCAAATAGATCCTTAATTTGTAATTTTCTGTTAATTAATTAAATCGCGAATTATCACCATGCCACCGCGGCTTTTAATTGACCCATTAGGACATTGCCGCCAAAGAAAAAAAAAAAAAAGGGACATGGAATTGATGGTCTTCAACCTTGCATAGAATTTCAGCCAAAAAACAAACCTTGCATAGAATTAGAATGGATTCTCGTCAAAGAACAGTTCTTCAACTAATGGTCCATGCCGCGTCATGCCACTAGGACTGTGCAAAAACCCGGTGGTCCGGTCCAACTCGAGCAAATTCGGTCCAGTCCAGTCCAGAAAAAATTAGCCCGAAACAAGACTGGACCAGACTAGACTGGACTGGTCTCATCGGGTTGGACTGGACTAAGGATTGGCCCCTCAGACTAGTTAATCCAGTCCAGTCTAGCCCTATTTTTTTTAAATTATTATTTATATAATTTTAATTTGGTTTAATTTTTCTATATAAATTTTTTGTCTATTCAAATAATCAAGATTTATTTATTAACTTCCTAAGTAATGAGCATGCGTATATATTTTCTACAATATAAGATCTATATTAATGAGGATTAATTAATAAAACATGACATTATTGGGAAATTGAAAGAGAATGATTAAATTTGATGAACTTTGGATTAAAATATGTACAAAATTTTATATAGTAAGTTACAATCTTGTCTCCTATTGAAGAAAAAAAATTTAAAAAAAATTAAATTTAGGTCCTAGACTGCTTGGATTGGTCCAGGCAGTCCAGAGGACCAAGTCCAGTCCAACCCGACCTCGGGTTGGTACTGGACTGGACCAGACCTCGGGCTGTCTTTTTCAGCCCGAGATCTTTATTGGACCAGACTTCGGGTTGATAACAAACCTGGTCCAGTCTGGTCCATGCACACCCTTACATGCCACCTCTTTACCTCAGGGAGATTCAGGGATCAATCTCCTGATTGGGCATGTGGAAGGTGTGAGTGAAAATCCAGGTTCCAGGGTGTTGACTAATTTGATTTGATAGACGAATTATTCAATTAAAGGTACTATTTTAACTCATTTGATGCCATTAAACACATTATATACACGGAAAACCTCTCTGCAATTGCGAGTGATTGCCTTCTGACGTGGGCTAAGACGGACGTGCACGTGATGTGAGTTCCTTAATTTAATTAATTAAATAATTAAACATAGAAGACGCAAAATTAACGTTAGTGAGTAAAGTCTGCAAAGCGCATAAATATTAAATCAAAAGGAAGAAACAGTGTCCTTGAAAACAAGAACCTCAGCCGGCTATATGAATATAATGGTCTTGCCTACTGATTCTTCTCCTTACCACATATCCAAAGGGGTAGATTGGGAACAAAATACTACCTCCGTTCTTAATTATAAGATTTTATTTATAATTTATAAACGAGATCTTATAAATAAGATCAGAATAATAACATATATGATCTTACACATGAGACCAAGTCAACCCATTATAGAAGAGATTTGCCAAGGCTTTCCTCTTTCCCCTCGTGCCTTCCAAAACGGAATCCTAATTATATACTCTTCTGGTTCTTAATATAGGACCTAATTCTTAAGTTGGTTTTGGTTTTAAATATAAGACCTATTTCTCGTATTTATCAATTTTCTTTAAATTACCCATATGGATACTCCCTCAACCATAATTAAGTAGAAGAGGGAGAGGGGGTTATTAAGAAAGATGATTACGGTGTTTTAGAAAAAATATGTCACTTTTTTTATAATTAACGAACTTACCTAATTTCCTTAATCTAATCAAATTAGTTAAATAGGTATTATATTAAGGACCAGAGAAGTATGAGTACATCCAAAATAGAACCCTCTATTGCACATTAGCGGTATAAATCCATAGAAAATGTGAAGTTAATAAGCAATCTGATTAATATAAGTCACTTCTAATGTATTCTTGTATATTAAGAAATACATTAAATTGATAAAAAATTTTCAATTTATCCTCATTAAATTTTTCCCTGTATTTACATATCATTCTCATTTCTTTCTCATTCTTATCCTGTGAATAAAAATTAAATAAGAATAAAATTAGATAACAAGTACTCTTCCGGTCCTTAATATAGGACTCAATTCTTAAATTAGTTTTGATCCTAAATATAAGACTCATTTCTCATATTTATCAATTTTCTCTAAATTACCTCTATGTATACTCTTTCAATCATAATCAAATAAAAGAGGGAGAGGGACTACTAAGAAAGATGATTATGGTGTTTTAGGAAAAATATGTCACTTTTCTTCTAATTAACTAACTTATATAACTTTTTTAATCTAATTAAATTAGTTAAATAGGTTTTATATTAAGGATCGGATAACTATTAAAAAGGATGACGTTAGAGTCCACTGTGTTCCCCTGTGGGTGGGATCTACAAAACAAAACACGTAATTCAAAGGATGGATCAACCAATACACAGAGGCAGAGCCTGAGTATTGCACCTTCTCTAACACTTCCCTTTCCAATCCAAGTCTTGATTGCCTCAAACGCAGCTACTGGGAACAATGGAATCCTTCTCAAGTGCTTTGGAGGCTCTGCTTCAACTTCTACCAAACAACCGTCCACAACAATAGAAGATCTAAGCCATCGCTTTTGTCTTGCCCAACTTCGAAAATCGACCGATGACTTTGACGAAAGCCGGATTATCCGCAAAGGGGCCCGTCATGACATATACAGGGGTTGCATCTCCATCAACGGCCAGCTGAAAGATATTAGAATGGATCGGCTCTGAAAAGGACCCAGCTCGCGGCCATACGTGTACTCAGTGCGTAAGAACGATATCTTATTTAGGTGCCAGCGACGGCACCCGAATCTGGCGTCTCTTGTTGGATTCTGCAATGATAAAAATGAAATGATTATAGTCTATGAGCACGCCCTAAACGGGTCACTCTATCAGTAACTTTGCGGACTAGAGAGCAAGTCAGCAACACTCTCCTGGAAGAGAAGGCTAGAAATTAGTGTAGGAGTGGCTCGTGGAGTACACTACCTTCACTCGGGAGCCAAATACACCATCATTCATCGCAATATTGCACCGACTGCCATTCTTTTGGACGAGAATTGGGTTCCCAAGCTCAACTTTTTCGGGCTCTGTTTAAAAGGGCCAAAGTTTTCAGAAAAGGATGTGAAACCCATAGAGTTGGAATCCGTTGAAGGCACTTTAGGATACAAAGCTCCTGAGTGCTTGCGCGACAATAAGGTCACGCATAAAAGTGACGTCTATTCTTTTGGTGTGGTTTTGTTACAGCTCAATTGTGGAGAGACTTTCTACCAAATGAGCAAGCGGCAAGAACTTCATTATCCTCGGGAAGTACGTAATTTGGCGGAAACAGTAAAAGCTGGGGGAATTATGGATGAGAGTTTGGTGGGAGAAATAGGAGGAGAGTGTTGGAAATTGTATATGGACATTACGGAGAGTTGCTTGAGTGAAGATCCCAATGAGAGGCCAGACATGGGAGAAGTTGAAGTTCAACTTGAACGTGTGCTGCAACTGCAAGAGGAAGCAGATACCAACCATGATTTTCATGCTTTCTTGTTTTAATTTCTCTTCTTGTTTGAATCTTTCGTGCTTGATCGTTTGTGTCTCTCAATTACTACATTGAGAACAAAATAATAAATATGATCTTTTCTTTACGACCAACTCAACTGGAAGAGCTTTGCCAATGCTTCTCTCTTTCCCAACTTGAAGAATCAACCATAAGATGTAGATCTCTTCAAAAACGAAATCCTATTCAAAAGAAGGTTTTCAAAATAATTAACCTGGTCGTCACACAAACATCACTTCACACTGGCATGATGTTTAAACATACTTCATGGAAGAACTGCTGGTAAATCGGTCCAAACAAAAAGCAAATAGCTTGATAAGTTGTCATAACTTGACATTCACAGCTCTCACTGCATATAGTATAAACCTTTTCTACTCTCAATTAGTACAATTCTATTTACAGGTCATATAAAGATGCTCCCTTCTTTAGGTTGTCGTCCGATAAAAAAAGAACATAGATTATCTATCATTAATCATAAAAAATGTGTACATAAGTTCAGGTACGGATTACAGTATCTTTTTCCCCCTCAAATCGCTTTTGTTGTGATGTAGCCTATCTAATGCAACCTGAAAGTATATTCGGACCTGTCATGTTGTAAGTACAACTGCTTAATATATGCTTAAGGTTACTGTGCGATCTGATGTATCTCTCTGTGTTTATGTTGTCAATGCATTTTCTGATTTGTGTTAATGACAGGTTTATAATGACTGGCTTCCCAGCATAAGGATTGATGCGTAAGCAGAAAGCCATGGTGGGAAAACTTGGTACACTGATGGAAAAGACAATAGATAGTAGTTGTTCAAAATGCTGATGAAGCACGGATGGTCTTCACGCTTGGTTTTCAAGGTGTGATTACCTTTAGCAGACTAATTCACTGATGAAGCACTGATGCTCTCGTGCGTAATATACATAATTCTGGATGATTCTTCATCTGTTATCTCTTTGGGTTTGTATAGTGTGCATTCTGGAAATGTGATTTCTTGGAATAACATTCATAGAAGGCTATACAATGAACTTGTTAGAAGGGATAGCAACTCACCAACGCTCTCATAGCGCAATTATTACATTACCTTCATGTAGTAATCAAAAGAAGGCTCTCAAAGTAATTTTGGAACTATTTTGTTAGAACTCATATGCGATACGGAACAATTCTGTCATGCAGGTACAGAGGTATCCACATACACGATGCACAAAATATTACATAGTTCACATTAACAACTAATGATCTTCAATTCATGATTCATACAAAAATTGTTTGTTAGTAAAATCCGAACTTCTCCACATGAAATGCTGGCGTTGTTTGACCGCAGCAGCAATATCAGCATTGGATAAAATCATGAAGGTAGATTTCAGCTGGCAGCTGAAACATTCGGTAGCACACTTCCCGAGGTATCTTTAGTTCACTCTCCTCCCAGACGCCATCGAGAAGATGAGTCTAAAAACCAAGGAATAAATGAGGTTGGCTGATTGAAGAGAGAGGAATGTTGTAGGGAACCAAAGCCCAAATCCACACCCTCTATTCTGCAACTCTGAGCTGCTTTTTTCTATCTCGCTCATGGACTTCTTGTCTGCAAGTCTTAGATGCACCACTATTGCATTCTCATGAAAAACTAAGCGTTGATAAAGTGGTGAGGTCGGTGGTGTGATGAGGAGAGTGAATTGAAGATGTTCTGGGAATGAAAGTGAGGAAGTGAGGGAGTGGGTGTAGGCACCAACGGATCGCTCTGGTGATAATGGTGGTTGATGATGGGTGGAGCTGGATGCTTAATCAGAGCAAATATTTTTACTTGAACAGAATGTGTGACGGAAGGACTTGCGTATTTAACAATATAAAATTAAAGCATCTTCTAAAAAGGAAAAAAAATAAAATTCAGAACCTAATTCAAAACCAGAGGAAATTATGAGAACTGCGAGATTAATTTTCCCTATTACAAATAACATCAATAAAATCATGCTACTTCCTACCTGTCAAGAGTAATTTGTTCAGCAGCAGTTATGAAATGCCTCCGTCATGAAACTAGTGCTATTTGTTTTGGAAAATGAATGAAGTCTCTACCATGAAGATTAGTAACAGAACTTGGTATATCCTGGTTGGGAAATGCATTCATTAAAGTCTTACAGATTACATGGTTAGGATTTTACAATTGTCTAGGAGTCTTTTAGTTATCTCACATCATCACTCGCAGAAGTTCATCTTACTGTTTCCAAGTATTATATACGAAAGAAAGGAGGGGACAGCCACCTGCCAAAGTGCGGTGTGTGTGAAAGTCTTTTCGTTCATTACATTCAGTTTTAACCCTATATTATTAGAAGAACATGAAGTTTAAATATGATGCCCAAAATTGTGATTAATTTGAGGAAATTAATCAAACGAAGTGTTGAATGGCCCAATTTCCATTCAACACTTGAGATCAATTTGAGTAAATCAATCAAATTAAATTGTCAAAATATTAATGGTTTGATCATTCAAATTGAATCCCTTAAACCCTAAAATTATCCTCACGCGAGTCTGAGGTTACCAATTCGGACATAAAATTGATGGTCTTCAACCTTGTATGGAATTAGGACCGTAGGTAGCACATTATAATGTTTTTCAACTAATGGTCCGTGTGGCCTCATGCGACTCTCTTTACCCGGAGGTTGAAGGATCAAATTTTTTGGCCAACCTTCATAGTCACTCGAAGAAATTCATTTGACTAAATTTATAATCCTTGTGTTGGAGTTGGTTCGCTGAGGCTGCCGACAAAGGAGCGTTAGAAAATCCCAAGTCTTGAGTGCAGTCCGTAAACTGCCTCAAACGCAGCTACTGGGAATGGGAATCCTTCACAAGTGCTTTGGAGGCCCTGCTTCCACTTCTCGGAAAACATCCTCCCACAACAATAGAATATCTGTGCCATCGCTTTTCTCTTTCCCAACTTCGAAAATCCACCGACAACTTTGACGACAGCCGGATTATAGGTGAAGGGCCCTTTGGTGTGGGGTATAGGGCTCGCATCTCCGTCAATGGCCAAATGAAAGATCTTGTAGTGAAAAGGCTTCGGCGAGAAGCGGCGAATTCCTCATACGGGCTCTTACTGTATAAGAACGATATCATATTTAGATGTCAGCTTCACCATCCGAATCTCGTGTCTCTGGTTGGATTTTGCGATGATCAAAATGAAATGATCGTGGTCTATGACTACGCCCCAAACGGATCACTCTATCAGCAACTTTACGAAACAGAGGCTAAGCCAGCAATACGACCATGGAAGAAAAGGCTAGAAATCAGTATAGGAGTGGCGCGTGGATTACACTACCTTCATTCAGGAACCAAACGCACCATCATTCACCGCGATATTACACCGTTTGCCATTCTTCTGGGCGAGCATTGGATTCCCAAACTCAATTTTTTCGGGTTCTCTATAAAAGGACCAAAGTTTTCAGAAAAGGATGTGAAACCCATACAGTTGGAATCCATTGAAGGCCCTGTGGGATACATAGCTCCTGAGTGCATTAGTGGCACTAATGTCACGTATAAAAGTGACGTCTATTCTTTTGGAGTAGTTTTGTTAGAACTCATTTGCGGAAAGACTTTATTCCAGATTGTTCAGCATAAGGGGCGTCATGTTGACAAGACTGCAAGTGTCATTCCATTTACAACGAGTGTGGTTAAGGAAGTCCGTAATTGGGAAGAAAGAGGAAATGCTGGAGGAATTATTGATCAGAGTTTGATGGGAGAAATAGCAGCAGAGTGTTGGAAATTGTATATGGACATTACAGAGAGTTGCTTGAGTGAAGATCCCGATGAGAGGCCTGATATGGGAGACGTTGAAGTCCAACTTGAACGTCTGTTGCAACTACAAGAGGAAGCAGGTACCAACCATGCTTTTCATGCTTTCTTGATTTAATTTCTTTGCTTGTTTGAATCTTTCACGCTTACTCTTCCACTAGAAAATCCTTGTTTGTGTCTCTTAATTGTTGGATTCTTTAGATTTAACCTCTCATAATCCGTTTCCATATCATTGCCATTGTCTTCCTTCTCGTGATTTCTTGCGTCTAGTTGGATTGGTGTTTGTGAATAAGAAATATAATTTCTTGTTCTTGATATGGTACCAAAATGTTCAAAAAACATTTATCTTTCACCATTCACGTAATTACAAGTGTTTTTTTTTTTTTAACTTTTTTGTTTTTTTTTTGGGAACCAAATGCAAGCAAATTTTATCTTAGCTGGCTTGTTTTACTTCTGCAATATGCTAGAGGCAAAAATCTGCTGAAAGAACTTTTTAATTCCTTCACAGAGACAGCGCTTTAGCATCAGGCATCAGACCTCACTCTACTTACCAAGAAGGCAAGAACCAGGCTTAACCGTCACCATTATCCATTGCAAATTGCTGGTATATAGTATGTGCCAGAACCACATGTTCTGGAAAGTCACATATGCAATAGTCAATAACAGCATATCTAGATGATATTTTAACAAGCCACAATTGTGCTTGCAGATGCCTTTCTTGTTAATTTAGTCCTATGGCTGCAGTAGGGAATGATATTTTAACTTGGAATGCAACAATTGATGGCAGTTTTACTGTGAAGAGTGCATATTACTCACTAGAAATGATGATGAAATACCGATGGTCTTGACACATGGTTTTCAAGGTCTTTGCATTCAGCAGAATTATTCATGATGTTTGAATTCCATTTTAGATGCAACTATTAGGCACAAGCAAGTTAAATATATAGGTTATGTTCGGTTGGTGACTGGCAATCAAACTACACATTGTCTAACATTTCAAATTACTCGTGGTTACTCAAACTTGGTCATGTCTGGTGTAAGTACCAGTTTCCATGATTCTTGAAGATCCATCAGCCAAAAGTATCTGATGAATAGGTACATACGTGTCCTCTTAACTGTTAAATCAGTAGTCTTTCTGCAACACATGCTGATGAACTTTTCATTTAACTATACGTACTGACCATATTGTTATGTGTTCTATCAGTGCGCAGTGGCCTTGTAGCATTCTTGGATGGCAAGATCAGTCTGCGGAGGATTTCCATGGTTCTTGCTCTTTTGTGCCTTTTCAATTGTTACTCAATTAAGGAGAATATTTTATCCTTTGTGTTTGAGATATACTACCTCAGATCTTTAATCTAAAAGCTAAATAATTAATTTCTGAATATTAAAAAATTGGTTAAGTTAGTTATTTATAATACATGAGTACAATTTTTCTGAAATACCTTTTTTAATCATGGACATTAGAATAGAAATCATTTAACGTTTGCCTCAGTGATTACCAAAAAAGAAGAAGAAGAAGAAAGAAATCATTTAACATTTGTAAATTGTAATCCCCATGGAGACTACTTTGAAGAAAAATGAATAAATATGATCAACAAAGTAAATTTGGATCTTATATTTAGGATCAAATTAAATTTTCAGTTGGCTCTTGTATTTAGAATGAGAAGTAGTATTTTTTTGCTGTTTATTTTTGGGACCAAATGAGTAACTTTTTTGGTAATGAGAAAATACCTAGAAATTGATTTAAATGTTCAAATGCATTTGAACTGATCATGATTTTTCTTTTTAAGGCCCAGAAATGTTCTCCTTCCATGAGATGGAAATATTTAACTTTTTTTAATGTATAGATAGTAATAGCTATATATTTTCGTTTATAGCTGATAAATAATGAATTAATGATATCAGTATTAGATGATTTTGATTTTGATTTTGATTTTAGCAGGGATATTGATTACTGAAGCATTGGAGGATTTTATTTTGGGGAGATTGATGCTAACAAGAGCTATAGAGCTGGCTTCAACAGTGGTGGCATCCCATAAGAAACTTGTGAGCCGGCCTGAGTGAAAACCGCAGGCGTGATGTGACCTTCTTAATTAGTAATTTTCTGTTAATTAATCACAGGAAGATGATCCAAATCCCGAATTATCATCACGCCACCGCTTAAGTTGACCCATTAGGACATTGCCCAACAAACAAACAAAAATAAAAAAAAGGGGGACATGTAATTGATGGTCTTCACCCTTGCATAGAATTAGAATGTATTCTAGTCGAAGTACTGTTCGTCAACTGATGGTCGATGCGGCATCATGCCACCTCTTTACCTCAGGGAGATTCAGGGATCAATCTCCAGATTGGGTATGTGGAAGGTGTGCGTGAAAATCCAAGTTCCAGGGTGTTGACGAATTTGATTTGATAGATGAAAAAGGCCGTGGCGTGCCCATTGTGAAGCGTTAGAAAATCCAAGTCTTGATTGCTTCAAACGCAGCTGCGAGCCGACGTTAACTGGAAATGGGAATCCTTCACAATTGCTTTGGAGGCTGTGGTTCCACTTCTCGTAAACAACCTTCCACAACAATCGAACATCTATGTCATCGCTTTTCTCTTTCCCAACTTCGGAAATTGACCAACGACTTTGACGAAAGCCGGATTATGGGTGAAGGGCCCAGAAGTGTGGTGTACAGGGTTTGCGTCTCCGTCGATGGCCAACTGAGAGATATTGCAGTGAAGCGACTCCGACGAGAAGCAGCGATTTCCTTAAACGGGTTCTCACGGTACAAGACCGATATCATATTTATATGCCAGCTACACCACCCGAATCTGGTGTCGTTTGTTGGATATTGCGATGATAAAAATGAAATGATTCTGGTCCACGACTGCGCCCCAAACGGATCACTCTATAATCAACTTCACGAAACAAGGAGCAAGTCGCCAATACGACCATGGAGGAAAAGGCTAGAAATCAGTATAGGAGTGGCGCGTGGGTTGCACTACCTTCACTCAGGAACCAAACGCACCATCCTTCATCGCGATATCAGACCGGCTTCCATTCTTTTGGATGAGAATTGGCTTCCCAAACTGGCACATTTCGGGCTTTGTTTAAGAGGACCAAAGTTTTCAGCAAAGGATATGAAACCCATACGGTTGGAATCCGTTGAAGGCCCTTGGGGATACATAGCTCCTGAGTGCTTTAGTGCTCCTAATGTCACGTATAAATGCGATGTCTATTCTTTTGGGGTCATTTTGTTAGAACTCATCTGCGGAAAGACTTTATCCCAAATTAGTCAGCATAAGGGGCGTCATACTGAAGCTGCAAGTGTTATTCCATTTACATTCAGTGTCGTTAAGGAAGTACGTAATTTGGGAGGAACAGGAAATGCTGAGGGAATTATGGATGAGTGTTTGGTGGGAGAAATAGGAGGAGAGTGCTGGAAATTGTACATGGACATTACAGAGAGTTGCTTGAGTGAAGATCCCAATGAGAGGCCACATATGGGAGAAGTTGAAATTCAACTTGAACGTGTGTTGCAACTACAAGAGGAAGCAGATTCTAACAATACATCCTTGTGATTTAATTTCTCTTCTTGTTTGAATCTTCCGTGCTTACTCTGAGGCTAGAAAGTACTTGCTTGTGTCTCTTAATTACTAGATTGAGAACAAAATGATGAATATGATCTTACATTTGGGATCAAATTAGCCCACCATAAATCTGTTTTTGTTTTGAAGACAAGGAGAGTGGTCCAAGGACTGTAAAAGGTGTGAATTTAATTAGTCCCAGAAAAATACTGGAAAACAGGCAGTGCCAGAGTCCGTTATGTGATATCCCTGGTGGAGTTACAGCAACGCATGTGGTCGTTCAACCCCCTGCTGGGGACAAAGGTCTGGTTTCTCTTTGCAGTCACATTAGAAAGTTACTACTAATGTTGTCTGTGTTATTGAACTGTATATTGTTCTATTTCACTTGTGACAGAAACATTTCTAATTCTAATTCTGCACATCACTTAACGTTCACTTTTGGGAGGACACTGAGCTGCTCAAATTGACTCTCCTATATATTTCTAACAAATCTAAATCACCTACTTGCGTAAGAGACACAAGATTGTTTCAGTTCTCCATTATTTTGAGTATGTTTTGTTCTAGTTTTTATTCGATGATTAATGTTCTTGACTTTTCTCGTCTAAAACAGAGAAGGAAGCAAGAAGTGAACCGAGGCAGAGCAAGTGTGTTTGTGTAATATTATGGCACTCCCGGCGGAAGACATCAAAGATGACATCTTTCCTGGTTGATCAAGTGTTACACTCTCATTCAGTTTAACATGATTTTTAACTGCCAAAAACTTCCTCATCACTCAACTTTTATCTGCTTTATTGTCTGGTTGTCACAAGAGGCTGAGAGAAATGGGCCTGGTGAAGATTGTGATGCTAGTTATACAGAGGTGGTTCCTCTGAGACAGTAAACTCTGTACAGAATTTTCATAGGTGATGCTTTTCTAGGTGGAGTTCCTTGTTGGGTTTTTATAATTGTTTGTTGAAATGAAACCAACTCTATACATTGCCTTCATGTACATGACTATATATGTGTGTGTGTATATATATATAGATATTAAAAAAAAAACAAGTTATTCTTGTGCCTGAAGTTATTCTCTCCCGTTTGGAAAGAGAATTCCTTTATTTTAAAAAATGACAATTTAGAAGCCATATTTCTTTCACCGAAATTGACAAAATAAAAATAAAAACAGTTGCTTATTTTTTAATACCAACTATCGCCTTGTTTTGCCAATAGCGTTGCCGCCACTCTTGCTCATCTTGCTCTTCTTGGTCCTAATAGGTGTTTCACTTGGTTTTACTAGGCCGAGTCTAATTTCCTTGGTTTCAATAGGCCTAATCTTGCTCTTGCAATTTCCGTAGCTATAACCTCAAATTCTTCTACCAAAGCAACTTTTATCCTCTCCATTTCTTCTATGTCATCCCTTGTAAGGATTATATTGTCTAAGGGCTTGTTTGGTTGGAGAGAGGGGTGGAGGAGGAGAGGGAAAATGAGTCCCTTCTCTCATTTGGTTAAAAATTTTAGAAAAGAGAGAAGTTAAAATGTCCTTTCCCCTTCCTCCTGTACCTTCATTTTAGCTCTACCAAATTTGGAGTTTTTGGATAGAAGCTAAATTTTTAGACTATCATCCACGTATGTTTTATTCTATATTCAACTACTACCTATAAAATATATTATTATAATATTTATTTCAAATAATAAATATATTATCTTAAGTGAAAAATAAAAAAATATAAATTATTTAATTTAAAAGTATATTATAATAAAAAATAATCAAAATAAAAAATTATTTAAATAAAAAATTATAATATTATAAAATTAATTGTTTTTCAATAAATATATTATTTATTAAATATATTTTAAAGCTGAAAACAGGTATAGCCTAAAAAATAAATTTTCATTTTTTAGAGTATAAAAATTTGTTAATTTGATTATTTAAATATATTATTATATAATTAGAATAAAAAATTACTCTATCAATTTTTTTATAGTCTTCCACCCTTCTCCGATCCTGCCAAGCATAGTGTGATAGGACAATTAGTCCTGCTTATAGCCTTTATCAAACAATTATTCCTGCTCATTGTTCCCCTGTACAATACATTGTGGTTCATGTTTCACCAATAAAAACTCTCTAAAATTTCCTCAATTTTACCTTGCTAAAACATGGAAGGATTTCACTTTGGGAAGATGGATTTTCCTTGTCAACAAGGAACTGAAGCTGGGCTTCAATAATGGCGGCATCTCGTAAGAACGTAGGTAAGACGGCCGGAGCCAAGACCACACATGTGATATGAGCTTAATTACTAATTCTCTGTCAACTAATTACAGGATCTCTATCCATGATTATGAAAATGACGCTGAAGTCAACGAAACGCGGATCAAGCAATGCGCTGGTGGACCTGTTCTCCAGCACCTACAAACTCAATGTCTAGCGTCTATTGATTGCCTCAAACTCAGCTGCGGGGCGACGATACAGGGAATGGGAATCCTTTACCAGTGCTTCGGAGGCTCTGGCTCACCTAGAGAAAAACAACCTTCCACAACAGTAGAAGATCTATGCCATCGCTTTTCTCTCGCGCAACTTCGAGAATCCACCGACGACTTTGACGGCAGCCGTTTTATCGGTGAAGGGCCCTACGGTGTGGCGTACAGGGGTTGCATCTCCATCGACGGCCAACTCAAGGATATCGCAGTGAAGCGGCTCCGACAACCAGAATCATACGGGGATCTCACTGTACAAGAACGAAATCATATTTATGTGCCAGCTACGACACCCGAATCTGTTGTCTCTTGTTGGGTTTTGCGATGATCGAAATGAAATGATTGTGGTCTATGACTACGCCCCCAACCGATCACTCTATCAGCAGATCCACGGAATAGACAGCAGTTCGCCAATAAGGCCATGGAAGAAGAGGCTAGAAATTAGTATCGGAGTGGCGCGGGGGTTACACTACCTTCACTCAGGAACCAAACGCACCGTCATTCATCGCCATATAACATCGGCTGCCATTCTTCTGGGCGAGAATTGGGTTCCCAAGCTCGGATATTTCGGGCTCTCTTTAAAAGGACCGAAGTTCTCAGCAAGGGATGCGAAGCCCATAAAGTTGGAATCCATTGAAGGTCCCTGGGTATACACGGCTCCTGAATGCTTACGCGCCACCAATGTCACGTATAAAAGTGACGTATATTCATTTGGAGTAGTTTTGTTAGAACTAGTTTGCGGAAAGACTTTATCCCAAATCAGTAATCACGAGTGGCGTCAAGTTGAGAACACTGCAGATTTTTTCCAATTTACGATGAGCGTTGTTCAGAAAGTACGTGACTTGGCAGGAACAGGAAGAGCTGAGGGAATTATTGATGAGAGTTTGGTGGGAGAAATAGGAAGAGGGTGCTGGAAATTGTACATGGACATTACAGAGAGTTGTCTGAATGAAGATCCCAATGACAGGCCTGATATGGGAGACGTTGAAGTGCAGCTTGAACTTCTGTTGCAGCTACAAGAGGATCCAGATTCTAACAGTATAATGATCCCTTGATTAATTCTCTTGTTGTAATGGACTACATCCGCTGTTTAATACTACCTCTGCTATATTTAATACTACTATAAAAATTTGTTAGACTTTTATTTTGGTTTGAAATATAAGATCTCAGTTCACCTTGTCTTTCCTATTTATCTTTTTTGTTTTAATATAGTCCTTATAATAATGATAGTTTTAGCTAATACATTTAATTAACAAAAATATTTTAGAAAAATCTTTGAAAATAATGACTAATAAATAGGACTATAAGAGTGCATATTTTTGTTTTATAATTTATAGCCAGCAACTAATGGATCAATGGTATCAGTATTAAATATAAAAAGCACTTACTTAAATTAAATTCAAATAAATCAGGTTTGACATGGCTTTAAAAACAATTGATTTTTTGCTAAAGAAATTAGTTAAAGTGGTTTTTGAAAATTTCTGAGTTAGCTTTCGACTCTTTCTAAAATTTGAAGTTTCTGGAACTGACTTTTCATCTATCATCTAAACAAATTTTATTTTTCATAAAATTTATTTAATCATGAATCACAGTACATGAATTAATTAACTTTTATCTCAAACCTCAGTTTGCAATAGTTTTGAATTGTCAGGTTTCATAAAAATTAGTACTTTTGTCAACGTTAATTCAATTAATTCAATCAAGCTAGAACATATATAGAAGGAATTCTTTTAGGAAGATGGATGTTATAAAGAACTGAAGCTGGGCTTCAACAGTAGCGGCATCTTGTTAGAACACATGTAAGACTGCCGAAGGTAAGACCACAGGTGACGTGAGCTTCTCAATTACGTATTATTAATTCCCTGTCAATTAAATAGAGGGTCTGATATTGGGTCCGGTCTTTAATATAAGACTTTGTTGACTTTTATTTTAATTTTAAATATAATACCCCAATCCACTTGTCTCTCATATTTATGTATTTTTTCAAAGTAGTCCTTCTAATAATTATAGTTTTAGCCAATATAATTTATTAGTAAAGATATTTTAGAAAAGACAATTCCTATTTATTGTAAATAACTAATTTAACTTCTTTTTTAATCTCTTCAAATTAGTCAATTAGGTCTTATAATTAAGATTGAAGGTAGTACTTTATATGAAAGAAATTGTGGCAGGGAGATTTTTTATTTGTTTTTAAATCCCTAAGAGCTAATTGTTGTTCTCGCATACAACAGCCTCCCTCTGTGATGGTCACTCAAAAAGAGGATCAATTTCCATGGGCAAAAGTTAGATGGTTTTTCCTTGCAAAAACCTTTTGTGACACTGGTGGTACACAAAAGTCATGGGTGGTCATTAGTCTGATCCTTTCGGTGAAACCAACTCCCAGGATGCGACAGGGAGAGGAAAATCCCTCCCCACTTCCTCTCTATTATTTTTATTATTGGATTAACATCCAATAGTTAAAATTTAACATATTAAACAATATTATTATAATATTAATTATATATATAAATAATTAGAAATTAATATGTATATATTACTTTTATAGATTTTTATTAAAATATTTTATAATTTTTTATCCTTTGCCGTCTAATTATAATAATATAATAGTATTTATTATATATAAATTAAAATTATTTATATATTATAATAATATTATTATTTTAAAAGTAGAGATAACAAAGAGAGAGGTGGGAGAAAAACTAAAGGAAGATGATATTTTTCGAGGCTCTAATAAGTTAGAAAGCGGTTTAATTTTAAATAAGAATTAATAAAATTAAAAAAAATTTTAAATCAGAATCAGAAGTGTGAAATACGTCGGAAGAAGTGAGAGAGGAGATACAATTTCACTGCACATGGGTGGACCCTTCCTTGAGCACTCTTAAAAGTTAGCGTCCTTTGTCTTTTATTTATGCCTCATATGTTCTCGTCTCCTCGCGGCTCTAAATCCAAATCCTGATCGCCAGCGATGCGAGGCGACGTTATTGGAAGTGCTTTATTAGATTTCTGCAACCAAAGTTTTTCTTTGGCTCTGAGTATAGACTTCAAGACTGACTATTTCATCCATGGCACAGTTAACAGAGGCAAAGCTGATGAATGGGCCCTTACTATTGTGTATGGTGACCCATCTTTTACGAAACACCAACTTCTTTGGCAAGGTCTCATGGATTTAAATAGATGTATCACAGGAAGATTGGCTGTGGTGAGGGATTTCAATGCTACTCTTAAGCAAACTGATTGTAAATCATTGTCGGGTAAATACATCAATCCAAAAGCTGCATTTCGACACTGGGTTAATGAAAGTGAGATGATTGATATTGGCTTCAGTGGTCCTAAATATACATGGTGCAGAGGTTCTAGCGGCAGTCGTATCGACTGAGCTCTGGTTAATAGTCATTAGCATAAGACGTTTCCAACGCCTCCATCACTCATCTGCCTATGTTCAAATCTGATTACTGCCCGCTCTTATATCTCTGGAAGCTAATTTCAAGCCTGGGAAAGGGGATCATCCTTTTCCTTTTTTTGCACTGTGGTTTATGCATGATCAGTTTAGATCCTTTGTTAAAAATAATTGGCAGAGCCAAGGGGAGTAGAACGTGAATATTAAGGAATTTAAGAATCACCTTCTCCAATGGAACAAAAAAGTCTTCGATAATATTAATAGAAGAAAGGAGTATTTATATAGAAGACTTGATGACTTAAAAAAAAGGTTAGCTTGAATGGGAACTCAGATCAATTCGATCAGGCTAGAAAAGAACTTTGGTTGCAGATTGAGGAGGTTCTCGCATAAGAAGTCATGTGGTTACAGAAGTCATGGTGTAACTAGTACCAACAGGGTGATCGCAATACTAAGTACTTTCATAGCATGGCAAGTAGTAGGCAACAACACAATAGAATCAAAGCCCTCAAATTGGAATCTAGAGAGTAGTCTTATGACTCACAGGAGATTAAGGAGATGAGCACTAAGTTCTTTGAAACGCTCTATACTGAAGAAGAATCTACCGACCAGGTGATTAATTTTGACATTGATTTCCCTCAGATTGAGGAGGAGGATATTTGCCACTTGGGAAGACGAATCTCGGACTAGCAGATTAGGGGAGCTCTTTTTGACATGAGCCCTTTAAAGGTGCCAGGACCTGATGGCCTAAATCCCCTATTTTTCCAGAGTCAATGGGAGGTGGTGAGTCATACGGTAATACAAAAAGTAAGAGAAAATTTTTGATTGCCCATCTCTGGTCAAACTCATCAATGATACTCATATTGTGCTGATCTGAAAGTTGACAACCCCCCAAACTATCAAAGAATTTCGCCTAATCAGTCTATGTAACGTCATATATAAGATTGTGACCAAGATAGTTAAAAAACTGGTTTAAAGATGTCATGCCCAAGATCATTGCCCCTAACCCATGCAGCTTTGCGAAGGGCCGCCAGAGCTCAGATAATATCATCCTAGCCCAAGAAAGAAATTATCCATCGTATGAAAAGCAAAAAAAAGACAAAGGGGTTCATGGCTATAAAAATTGATTTGGAGAAGGCCTATGATATATATTAGATGGAGCTTTATCTTCGCTTGCCTTCAAGAACTTTGCCTCCCGGATTCTATTATCAACATTATCGAAGCTTGCGTCTCCAGTCCATCTATGTGCCTACTTTGGAATGGAGAACTTGCCAATAATTCTATCGTCGACAGGTGTGCAGCAAAGGGACCCTCTATCACCCTACCTCTTTGTCATTGCGATGGAAAAATTAGGCCACCTTATTCAGGGAGAAGTTGAGCACAGCGAGTGGGGCCCCTTTTAAATTACACAAAAGAGGTACGGCTATTCTCATTTGTTTTGTGCTGATGATATTCTTCTATTCACTGAGGCAAATCTGGAGCAGGCTGGTCTTATTAAAGCAACGCTTGATGATTTTTTGTATGACTTCGGGGACAAGAGGTCAATGCTTCTAAGACCAGGATCTTCTTCCAAATAACATTAATCATACCAAGAGGAGAGAGATTCGTGACTTCTTGGTTTCAAGCTACTTCTAATGTGGGTCGCTACCTGGAATGCCCCTCTTTCATGATAGGGTCTCAAAAAAAAAATACCTTTGACTTTATCTTAGACAAGATGGATTCTAGACTCTCGGGCTGGAAGGTGAATGTACTCTCCTTTGTAGCTAGGCAGACCTTAGTCTCGTCAGTGGTTTTGGCAATCCCAAATTATGCTATGCAGACTACATCGCTCCTAGCTTATACTTGCAAGGATATTGACAAGCAGTGTTGAATTTTCTGTGGGTAGCACTAGCCTTACTCGGCGACCCCATTTGGTTTCTTGGGAAGCGTGTGCGTAGGAAGAAACTGAAGGGGGCTTAGGGCTTCGGCCGGGTGAAGAGGCAAAACTCAAACTTATATTGATTAAACTAGGCTGGGGTCTTGTCAAAAGAAGGGATGCTCTTTGGGTCAGTTAGTTTTTTGCGGGAAGAAGTATAAGTGTGGAAGTGATTTATTCCTAGAGTGGAGAAGAGAAGGGATAGTTCCCAAACTTGGGTGGGTATATCAATAATTGGGATCATGTGAACCAACATGTTAACTTAAATTGGTGTGCGGGGAACCTTGTAAACTTTTGGTCTAAACCCATGGCTCTCGCATGGTGTCAAACTCATTGACCACATTGTTTGTGAGATTCCTAAGGAAGCGAGAAGTTGGAGAGTGGTCGATGTCATATCAGGTTTTAGGGGGTTGGGATTAGGAGAAGTTTTGACTCTATCTTTCTCATTCAGCCTTAAGACTTATCGTGAATCGAGAAGTTCGAACCACAAGTGATGTGACCTGCCTATTTGGATTGCTTTCCAGATGGCAATTTTTCTCTAAAATCTGCCTATAGTCTGCTCTCAAAGGACGGCCACGAACCATGGTCATTCTAGAGACATTTGTGGAAGATCAAAGTCCCTTAGAGGTGCCTCACTTTTCTCTGGATGGGAGCCCGAAATAAGTTTTAACTAAGTCCCTTAGAGGTGCCTCACTTTTCTCTGGATGGGAGCCCGAAATAAGTTATTAACTAACAAGTCGCGTTTT